CTACTCTTTAAAAGAGCCCTATTTAGTACTTTTCCTGTCGATTGATATCTGTGTATTATAGTTCGATAGATGATCTGAAAGTTACATGTGTGTACATGTAGACAGAGAAAATTTCGTATATCGGCATTTCAAAATGCCTTGTAGCTCCTAAGCCTTCACAGTTTGTGTTGGCTGATGCCAGTGGATTTTACAAGGCAGCAGCTTCTGTGACAGATGTAGGGTGCTCCAGCTCTGCCTGAGCTTCCTGTGTCAAATGAGCAGCGTTCATCTGAGACACTGGGCTATGTCTGAGCCCCTGATATTTGAAAAGGGAAAAATTGTTTTGAATCTGCACTCGGTGTAGGGACAAACTTCTGTTTAACTGAGAGAGGTTAATGTTCGGGTTTTTCCTTTTTTTTTTTTTATTTCTCTCAGTGACCCTGGTGGAGGGATTGAGATGTCAGAGTTCATACGAGAAGCAACTCCCCCTGTTGGCTGTAGTTCACGCAATTCTTATGCTGGGGTAGATCCAAACAACCAGGTAAGAATTAAAGCTACTGCAGTTGTTGATTTAATGCTGCTGGCTTTGCAATCTGCAGGATTTTTAAATTATTTTAAAAATTGTATTAGGATAAACAACTCTTCTGTGTTTCTTAACTGCTTTATTAGGGTGGCATTGCATTCTGCCAGCTGCGTAGCTCTTGCTCATCCCATCTTGGGTTCATTTTAGAAATGGCTCGATTTTATAAGGCAACCTACTGTCCCATAAGAAAGTATTCCCTTATGCTCAGTTAGCTTTCTTCTGATGCAGTAAAACAAAATGTCTCAGAACATGGTCAGATAAATACCAAGACCGCTGTGGCAGGCTTCTCACTTTTGGTACCAGTGAACAGTTTTGTAGCTCAAGGTGTAACTTCATCCATATATTCTAACTATTTTCCTCCCTTACTTCTGTTTGTTCTGTTTAGGTATTTAATTGGCAAACTTCAGTTGTGCTGTGAATGTGAGGAAGCTTCTGTTAAATCTTTTCAAAACATTTCCACTGCTGATTATCTCTTGCAATGCTAAATGGCTTTCTGAAAGTTATTATTCCTGACAGTTTGGACTCTGCAGTCAGAAATGTTAATTTGCTAAAGTACAAAGGAAGTTAAACTGGTAGAAAGACTGAAGCTATTTATTTTTGGATGACCTCTGCAAAATTTTCCCTATTTTGACACTTTGACAGGGATGGGAAGAAAGCAATCAATAGGGGCTGCTGCACACCAGATGGAAGTGCTGAAGAACTTGGCTTTATTAGATTTTAATGCAACTTCCTTATGCTCTAGTTCCCTTGTAATTTCACTGGGGAAGTTGTTCCATTTCCTTATAACGCCTGCTAGATTTATGCATTCAACTTCCATAGCACTGCACGTGCTGTTCCATCCATTTGGCTTGTGACATTTAGCCAGTTGTGGCATCTTGCTTTTGCCAACTCTTCATGAGGACAAATAGATTGGCTGGCCAGGCTGTATGTTTACATTGACGGGGAGCAATGCAGCATCATATTAAAGACATGGAAGCTGGTTTTGAATGGCATGGAAATCCTTGGTGTGGTATTACAATATCAAATCCTTTTGATGAGCTCTGAGCAAGCAGTCTATAGTGTAGTGCAGTGTTATGCTAATGTTTCTGTTTTATCTGATAATGCTCCATTATGCAACATAGATAGTCTTAAGAGATTTTCTTCTTTGAAGAAAACAGGTATCTGGTAGTGTTCAAAGCAACAGGAAGGAACGGTCTGTGTAGGAAGACAGAACTAGGCTAGGGATCATGTTTCTTTGTGACCGGCCTTTGGAAAAATACTATTCCAAACATGCTCATGACAATTCTAATAGAGCTTCTTCACAGGCTTTAAAGTGTTATTTTCTGTATGCTTTAAAGCTGACACTATAACACAGTTAAAGCTACTGTGAAAGGAAGTATAATATTTAAAATGTGTTTATGCTGATAAAGTTAGTGTTCACTAGTCTCCTGTGACTGAATTTTCAGCATCAAAAGGGTATGTGAGCAGTGAGCATCTGAGTTCTCTAGTTGGTGTGGGGGTTTTTTTGTGTGTGTGAAATAGCTTTCCCATGCTGCTGCATTTGCATTCAGCTACAGCATTGAGCAAGGCATATTACCTAAGGGGAAAAAAGCTGAAACGTGGCAAAATGAGTAACTAAAAGTGTGCATGACTGTGTACTAAAGAAAATGAATTAAGCTCTGGCTGCTTATTTGCATTACACATAGCAAAGCCGCTCTTCTGTAGTATGGCTGAATAAAATTTGCACACATTTTCAGACTACCTTAAATTCGCGGTGCTTATAAAGAAGTAGAATTTGCTGTATTTTTCCCAGAGTCATTTGAACTAAGGATTTCTGAAAAACAGCATTCTGAAAAGTATGCAGTAAGGCTAAATTTACCATCAGGTTTGTGTCTTGGGTTCAGATTTTGCCTTTCGGTGGTCTTCTGTCTTGTTTCTGAGTAGTTTGACACATGCATTTTTGTATGTTGTGAGGAGTTCTATTGGAAATATTGAAAGACTGAATTTTCTTTAGCACCTCTGAGAAATAATCTGCTACAGATTACAGGATGTATGTAGAAAGAGTACAGCCCTAAGCAACTAGCTAGTTCTCACATGAGGAGGTAAATGCCTGCTGGTTGGCTGTTTAACACGGCTGAAAAGCAGATACTATAAATTTGAAAAGGAATTCTAGTATCCAAGAACAGGTCAAGGAATGCTGCAGTCTTTCTCTAACCAGTTTACTTGCTTTGAGGCAACTGTAATATAATCTGTGTATCTGGAAACTGTCTTCAAAAGAAAAATTGCATTTGCAGGAATGAGGGAGGAATAAGACACAAGAAAATTTATTAGGTTAAATTAATTAGGAATCATCCTGCTGTGTCCCCCGTTCACGCTGCTGCCACTTTCCATACACCAGCACTACGTTCTTGTGATTACCTGGTCATTGAATTAACTCTGACAGATCTGAAAACTAACTCTGGTAAAAACGTATATCTCTTCCAATGGGAGCAACTTCTGCCTTTAGCCTGGTGTTTACTATGTTGAACAGATAAGGTGGTTTGGTTTTTTTTTATATTAACATGGTGTTTTCTTTAAGCATTTTAGACAACTGTCATCACTACATTAAACATTCAGCTTTACAATAGCAGTTAATAGCATATCACCACACTAGTTTGTTTGCACATTAAATATTTTCAAGGAAAATTCCTAGACTAGAAACTGTTTTTAAAATTGGCCTAGTAAAATCTCCAAGTACATTGGCTATAAAACACAATAATGCAGTGATATAGTTAGAAGCATAATTACATGCCTTGTCATCTCTGCTTGCGGTGGAAACATTTTGAGTCAGAAAGGGTTTGACAGCACTGTGCTGTTGGATGCTTTTGTGCCTTTGAAAAAGCTCTCCTAGGTGTATAGGCAAATGCATGCACTGCAGTAGTAGGAAGCAATAGTTGGGTAATTGCTCGAAGTTTACAACTTTTTACATAATTCTCTGTTTCTAGGTTGGATCTGGGTTATCTCGTTTGGGAACAGCAGCAACAATCAAAGGTGAGATTTTGGCTACCTCTTACAGTTACTTTGCAGTAGCACTTCCAATCACTGTATTTTGTTTCCAACTAATATCTGCCCTGCTTGTCTTCAAAACTGCTTTCTGAGCCAAGTACAGCATTTACTAGTTTGGAGAAATCTTCCTTGGAGTTGCAAATAATGTGCCCTCAACACTAGGAGAGAGTATTTTGGAATCTCTGCCCTGTTTTCCATGGAAAAAACCAGGTTTTTCTTCTGCTTGAAAATGCAAAGCCAAGGGGTTGATTTGAGTGGACTTTACTATTCTAAGTTCTGTGCAACCAGTCACCCTTCTAGTACTGTATTTGATGACTTGATTGATTTCTGGTTGCTGGGCATCTAGCAATGGTATTGTCCAGGACAATTCTTGTGAACTCTGCTGAGACAGAAAGATAAATTACTTGTAATAATGTGGAGTTACTGTCTTGTAAACTTTATTAAGACAAAAGAAAATGAGATGTGAATTTTTGTCGCCTTCCTGAATTTTATCTTTATCTTCACAAGTGTTTTTTTTAACTATCTACCCCTCACTTTTATTGGTGACCATGCAAAAAGGAATATTCAAACGGATATATCTTTAAGGAAATAAAATTCAAATATTTATTTCCATTGGGTTCTGCATAAGGTGATTTTCCAATTTATTTGGAAGAACTGTATGAAAACCTTCTTATACATAAAAAAGAAGTAGACTAGACAATACATATCTCTGAAAGATACATCTTGTGTTACTTATTATTTGCCTTCCAATGAAGAAATAAAAGCAACAGTCTTTCATGACAGTTGAGAAATCTGCAGTGTGTGTAGATGTGTGTTAACACTTTGAGCACTAGTACTCTTCTTTCTTAAAATTCACAGGAGATACTGACACTGCCAAGACCTCTGATGATATCAGTTTGAGTCTTGGCCAGAGTTCTAGCCTATGTAAAGAAGGGAGTGAAGAACAAGGTAAAATTTCTTCTTCTGCATATTAAATGTGGTATTTTGTTACCAAAGACCCTTTGTTTAACCTGCTAAATAAATTAATGCAATTTGTTGATAGTGTCTCAGAAAGGGTATCTTGAAGCTCTCTGTTTTCTTTCTTAATTACTCTAAGTTCCTGGGATGCATAGCTTGAATACTTTAAACTTTATTCTGTGGCCGCATGTTTCTTGGCCTGGCATCTTTCAGCAGGTAATAAATATTTACTGTCTTCTTGCTGCTGTAAGATAGCTAGCTTGTGTGTCTCTAGATCAGCTCTCTCATAATGAAAGTGGCCTGAGATTCATGGGCTTCATTGTAGACTAATTTGCTTTGCTTTCCAGTACAGCCAAATGATTGTGGTTGTATTTCTTGGTTTGCTTTTTTCTTTCCCTTTTTTTTTTTTCCCCTCCCCTCAGTCAGGCATGCTTTTCTGTATGGTAAATAATCCTGTGCAGTCACATGTTTCTGGAGCTATAGACCACTTCTAATGTGCAAGCTATTGGAGTTTTGTAATTGTGTTTCCCTAGTACGTAAGGAAACTGCTAGCTTCTCCAGTTGGCCTGTTTTGTTTCAGATCTCATGAGCCAGCAGTGTGCCCAGGTGGCCAAGAAGGCCAACGGTGTCCTGGCCTGGATCAGGATCAGGAGTGGTGGTGTCAGCAGGAGCAGGGAGGTGATCATGCCCCTGTACTCGACTTTGATGAGGCTGCACCTTGAGTACTGTGTCCAGTTTTGGGCCCCTCGCTACCAGAGGGACATTGAGGTGCTGGAGAGGGTGCAGAGGTGGCTGCCAAGCTGGTGAAGGGCTTAGAACATAAATCTGATGAGGAAGGGCTGAGGGATCTGGGGCTGTTTAGCCTGGAGAAGAGGAGATTGAGAGGTGACCTCATCACCCTCTACAACTACCTGAAGAGAGGTTGTAGAGAGGTGGGGGTTGGTCTGTTCCCCCTAGTGGAGAGTGATAGGACGAGGGGAAATGGATTTAAATTGTGCCGGGGAGATTCAGGTTAGATATTAGGAAGAATTTCTGTACTGAGAGGGTTGTCAGCCATTGGAACGGGCTGCCCAGGGAGGTGGTTGAGTCACCGTCCCTGGAGGTGTTTAAGAGACAGGTGGATGTTGTGTTGGAGGAAATCATTTAGTGGGTTGATAGGGCTGGGACAAAGGCTGGACTTTGATAATCTTAGGTCTCTTCCAGCTGATAAGATTCTATGATTCATTGCCAGGAAAAAAATCTACTCAAATTAAAACAAAGTACAAAACTGTAGGGAAGTCTTGTGGTTGGTGATTTTTTTTTTTAATTTTTTTTTTATTTAAAGTACATGATGATTAGCAGAAAGTTAACTCTGGGAATACTGTAGTTTGTTTTGGCAAATCTAATCAGACTAATGGATTCCCTTTAGTTTTTACTGTGTGATACAGTGCAGAAACTATGCTTAAAATAGGTTACAGGTGTCTGTGCTGTTGTGATAGACAGCAGAGTTCTAGCAGCTGAGTAGTGGAACTGTTCATGAAGTCTCTTTAGTTACAGGTGTGCAAATACACTCTACAGAAATTTAGCAATTGTAGTAATGTAACTTGGCCTCCAGATCTTTTATTTTTAGTGATGTATCAGAAAGAAAAGTAGCCAGACTTTCAATGCTGCCTGCAGGTGGACGCTTATGGGAGGCTGCTTCTGATGGATCATAGAAACAATTGCTCTGATCAAGGGCTTAACAACAAATTCTCTTGGCTTGCCTTAACAGCACCAGTTTTAGAGGTAGTAGCCTTGTGGGGAGTTTCATTATAGTACTGATAGACCTGTGCCTGTGCCAGACCTGCATGCTTTATTAACTATGAGCTTACTTGGTATCTGGTAGGAAAGGTAATTCTTTTTTTTATTGGGTGTTTGTGACTTCAATGTTAATGGGGTTTACTCTGTTTTCTTTAGTTTCACAGTTCCCATGAAACAGTTTAGTGCATGGAGGAAATGAAACAAAAGACAGGGTACCCTTTTATAATTGAGAAACTTTGCAATACGTAAAAACATCAAGCTTGAGACAAATGAGCACTTGAGGAGGTTGGAGACTTGTCAGAATCATTTTGTCTTTTATTAGCTTCTAAGTTTATGCTAGTGTTGATAGCTTTTTAATATGAAAGAAAGTCCAGGTTTGCTCAGATGCTAGGAAACATTTTACATGGTAATGTGATGCATAGTACTTGTAAATGGATTTGTCAGTTTATTTACTTTATCTGATGTAAACAAGCAGTTGTAAAGCAGATTGTATAACTTACATGAATATTCTATATGAATATTTTTAAATATGTACTTAAACAGATTTGGCAACTGATCGGAAGCTTTTTCGTCTGGTGTCGAATGACTCGTTTGTCTCCATCCAACCTTCATTATCCTCTGGACAGGATTTGCCAAGAGACAACAGTGATAAAGTGTGCCTCTCGAACAACCAGCTCATGGACCAGTCTAAAGCCAGTGCATGTGACACGGAAGTAGCTTCGCTTATAACTCTGCATTCTCACTCCTATAGGAAGGATCATAGACCACGAGGTGTACCAAGGACTTCTAGCTCTGCTGTTGCTTTTCCAGATGCTTCACTAAATGACTTCCCTCTCTATCAGCAAAAACGAGGACTAGATCCTGTCAGTGAGTTAGAAGCTTCCAAGCCTCCTTCTGGATCCAGAGAGTCCTTGGCTGAGAACTCTTGCATTTCAGGAGTTTTTCAGTTAGATGACATTCTGAAAAGTAGCAGCCCTCAACCATTGGCTAAGAGCGGGAAAAGCAAATCCTTGAAAGCAGACAAAAGTGTGGACAGTCTGCGAAGCCTGAGTACTAGAAGCAGTGGTTCCACAGAAAGCTACTGCAGTGGGACTGATCGTGACACTAACAGTACCATCAGTAGCTATAAAAGTGAACATACTAGCTCGACGCATATAGAAAGTGTGTTGTCGGAGCACGAGGAGGAATCTCCTAGAGAAGAGAAAAAGGAGGGTAGGAGAAAGGACTGTGGCATTGACTCGGAGGATGACAGTAGTTCTACTACTGACAAAAGGACTAGTAGCGAAAGGACTGCTGTGGAAGTGAGCACTGCCGGTGGTGTTCAAGAGGTAAAGCGTCCTAACGCATCTGACGAGATGCTCGGTCAGAAAGGTCTCGGTGCCTCTGCTTCAGAAGAGGCCAATAAGAACCCGCATGCCAATGAACTGACTACGCAAGCAGACAGGCCGCCTGGAAAGGCTGCCGAACAAAGAGATGAGCAGAGTGAGAAGCTAGTGTTAGTAGACTCAAGAGCCTCTAAAGAAACGAGTGGAAAACAAAAAGAAGGAGATGTTCGACCAAAATCGTCTAGTTTGATACATCGAACAGCCTCTACCCACAAGTCCAGCCGGAGAAGGACAGGAAAAAAGCGGGCTAGTAGTTTTGATTCGAGTCGGCACAGGGAATACGTTTCCTTCCGAGGTGTATCTGGTACTAAACCTCACAGTGCTGTGTTTTGTCACGATGAGGACTCTAGTGATCAAAGTGACTTGAGCAGGACATCAAGTATGCAGTCAGCTCACCAGTTCAGCAGTGATAGCTCTTCCAGCACCACCTCCCATTCATGCCAGTCTCCTGAGGGAAAGTACAGTGCTCTAAAGACCAAATATGTTTCTAGAGAACGTGGGGGCACAGACCCTGAAACTGCTCACAAAACCCACGTAAGCTCGGAAGGAATTAGCAAAAAGCGATCTACACGCCGGACTTCTAGCACAAACAGTGCCAAGAATCGTGCCAGAGTTTTAAGCCTGGACAGTGGTACTGTAGCTTGTTTAAATGACCCAAATAGTTTAATGGCACCAGGTAACATAAAACAGTTAACCACTTCAAAATCTGATTTGGAAGCCAAAGAAGGAGAGGTGCTAGATGAGCTATCTCTGTTGGGAAGGGCTTCACACTTAGAGTCAGTCACTCGTTCTAGGAATAGCTTACCAAGCCAGGCTACGTTTCCTGAAGGGGAAGAGCAAGAATCAGCAAGTGGAGGTAAGTAAATGGTCTACCAGAAGTGTACCTTGCTGTATTTTGTTAATGAGCCTGGTACCTATGGCTTAAGTTACAACAGTACTTAAGCATCTTCCTGTTTCCTCGTTCGTGCCTAGTAAAACTGACAAAGCATTTCCTTCATGATCTCTTGGAAGATACCCAGAAGTGGGAGCTGAATTCAAACAAATGACACAAAATCTATAGGTGGAGGTGTTACGGGTTTGTAATGAGCAGTATTTGTTAACCAGAGTTTTATCTTCAGATTATTATTTGTGATCAAATCAGACCTGCTCTGTTGTATTACTCAAACTTCAAATTATATGTGTGCTATTTAAAGTTAACAATAAAAGACTTTTTGTATGAAAGATTGTTCAGTTTAGGAAATTGGGAACATGGATATGATTGAAGTTACTTCTGCCTCTTAGATGAGCTCACTAGCATGGCTTGAGGTGGTATTAAAAAAACAAAACAGAAAAAAACCCAAACCCCAGACCCTTACCATGCTGCCTTCAATTGTGCGTTCTTACAATGGGCTAGTTACTAAGTTGAATTCTCCTAAGGATTTGGTTTTGCTTAGCCTTGCCATTGTTGGCTAGACAGTGTTGTTTACTTTGGTTTGGTTTTTTGTTTTTGTCCTCATTATGAGAACACAGTAACCTTCCTGTGCTGGAGAGAGGAATGTAGTTTCCTCTTTCTGTAACTATTGCTTTGCTTGATGTCATGTGAGTGCTAAGCTTACCTGTAGTAGCTGATCATAATATAGATTACTACGGGCATTAAAAAGCATTTTTTGAGCTCTTATTAGTGGTTGGTTTTTTTTGTTTATCTCTTTTGATGTTTCAGTCTTTTTTAATGGACTACCTTAACTGGAAGGCTTTTTGTATCACAGAGGACATAGATTATTTTATTTATTAAGACAGTAAATGTACTGTCTCTGTTACTTAAACTCCTAAGCAAAGTATAGTGACTCTGATCTTAAAAGGAGAGACTTTCAACTCTCAGTGAAATGAGATATGAGCATTAGGTTGGTGGGGGTTTTTTTTGTTTTGTGTCTTTCCCCTCCTTGACACTGACATAGGAATAAATTCTAAAAATCAGTATGATTTCTGGGAGGGAGAAACGTGGTACACTGAATTTCAGGTGTATATTGGTTACTGATAAAATTTGGCTGGTTTATAATTACACTGGACTATTAGGATGCCTTCACTCAAATAAGTCAGCCTATATTGGTACTTTCTGCCTTTCTGCTATTCTTAGTAACAGGAGTTTTGCAGTACCTTTAATGAAAGAGTCCAGGCTGTTCTTGCAGTACTAACTCTGCAATCTCTACTGAGAGTAATGTGACTGATAAAAGGTTTACCATTTTGACTCTATGCTTTCCTTAGCCCAAGTTTTAATTTAATTTTGGTTCACTCCTGATATGCAGAGGAGGATTCACATGCCTTTGCCTTATGCAACATGTCAACTTTTGTACGTGTTCACCAGTCGTCAGTAGTCAGAAAGAATTTGGTGTGTGGTTGACACTGTATATTGGCAAATATTGGGATTGCTCTTTAAGGAGAGAAATGACCAAGCCTAACACATTTAAAAGCAGTCTTAAAGATACAAATCTGTAGCATCTTAAGCAGGGATGTCTTGCTGTCATTCTTGCTGGACTATTCTCTTCAGTTTCCCCTTTAAACTTTGTGTAAGTAATGGTCAGTTTGAAGTTGTTTATATTTTGAATAATTTTAATAACTGGCAATCACCTAAGTATTACTTGCCATGGGTTTCAGGCTGACTTTAAGAAGTAATGTGGATTCAGGGTCTCCAGATCTGATGACATCATATGATTAATAACACTTGTTGTTTCTTATGCTTCTTATTACCAATGGAATAGGAAATACTTCCTTTATGATTCTAAGAGATTAATGTCATTCTGCTTTTCTTTTTGAAAGCAGAACAAAAATATCACTCTTATTTAGCTTTACTTAAATTTATATGTAGTTATATCTAGCATCAAGCCAATAATTAATTGTTTTGAATTTATCTGTGCATGATTAATCTGAGTAATTGCTTTATGTTGTCCATTGTTTTTGCTGGAGTTTTTTGTGGTTTTTTTTTTCAAATTCATAGTTTGTTTTAAGTTTTGTAACAGCTGAGACTAATAGAGAAAAATGTTTGAACTTTTTAGAATCTGAGTTGTGTCAGTATTTCCCACCATTGAGTTATCTTTACTGTTTGGGAGTAGTTTAAAAGATGTACATGTGTAATATTAATATATATCATATGTGTGTATGTGTATAGAAATAATATGAGAAAATTAAGATGTTATATTTTACATGAGGCAGATGAATTATGGAGTAGACTTGATTCAGATTTTCCTAAAATCAGAGGCTATTGGTTGGATGGGACTTTTAGAAGCTGTCTGGTCCAACCTCCTGCTTAAGGAATTATTTTATGTAAATAATCTTTAATGTCTTTGATTGCTCATGAAAAAAATTTTGAAACAAGTAATTAACAGATGCTAAGCAGACTAATACTGCCTCCTTTTTTTCAGTAAGCAGCTTTCAGTTCCTATTTTTTTTCAAATATTTCCTAAATCAGTAATTATAACTTCTTTTTCTCTTCAAGTCTTTAGAGAGTAAACTGAAAAGTACCTTCTTACTCATTTGTGCAACTGCTAAAGTTTATTTCATAATGGATATGGTGTTTAGCAATCTTTTACCAAGCAGGATGCTACACAGACTTGTACATCTTGCATTTCAGCAGATACAATGTAGCAGTTTTTATCTCATTATGCCAGGAAGTGGTGAGTGACTCACTTTTTACAAGATAGCTTGTGCATTTGAATAGAAATTGCAGTTCATTAAAATGCAGATAAACAACATTTGAAAATTCTGTAATTAAATACACATATGTATAAAAAAAAAATGGAATGTCTTGCAATGGTTTTTACCTTTGTTTAACTAATGTGCCTCTAAAAGTAGCTGTTGAATTGATGGGTCATGGGTTAGATGAAGTCATTTTGATGTCTAAAAGTTTGCTTAGATGTCCAGTGGTGCTTTGTAAAATACCACCTTGACACTCCTGTGCCTGGTTCCTCTCAGATGGGTGCTATTTGTGGATTGCTGTTTTTAAAGATTTAAAGAAGCAACATAATGCCATTGATGATGCAGTGATGTTTTGTGCAACTTGAGCTGACGTGAAATGTCGAGTGTTCTCCCCCAGTTCTATATTAACTGCAAAAGGTGCACCCTTGAAGCTGCTGCTCTCTTTTACAGCTTGCTGTAATTTACGTTTTATTTAAGTTCTTGAGTTGCATACGCCTTTATAAATAAAACTGCATGCGATGTGATGCATTTTTATTTCTGTGTGTTGCATAGCTGTATTAGGCAACAGCTCACGCTGTTCTTCTGTGGTCTTCAGCCCATCACTACAGGCAGCCAAAATAGGGTGTTGTGAGCTTGAATCGGAATCTTGTGTTTTGTGTGACATGGAAACCTGTTGAGCTTTTCAGGCTGCATGTATTCATACATGTATGCTTAGTATAACTGCCTGTGTTCATTAGACAGTATCCTTTCCACAGTTAAAAGTACAATTCAGTTCTCTGCAGCCAATGGCCATGTCGGCAGTTACCAATATATCACTTTTTTCCTACTATATTTATGTTGCACATGGTTTGTGGCCATTGCTTATTTTGCCTGTGTTACAGAGCTGTTCCACGCTTTGGATTGCTTCAGTTTGATACATCTTCTACAGGTGGGATTAATACAGTTACTGTTTTCTGGGAGTCTTATTGATTTGCATTCACACTGCTAAATGAAAGGGTTTTGCATGAGAAATCAAACTCAGAGTTTAGAAATGGTAGAAACTGGATAAAGTTACTGTAATGTAGCTGTGTGTGTTCGCTGTCTCTGTGTGATCAGCAGGATCCCTTCTCGAAGTGGATCAGATTAAGCAGATTAGCTTGTAGAAAAGGCTCTCTTCCATGTGAGGTTCTTTCTTGGAACCGAAAGACTGTGTTCCACTAACTGGTCTTTCAGTGTCAGCTAGCAGTGTCATAATGTACATAGCATTTTGTTTGAGCATGACATAGAAATTTTAATGTTAGCCTTTCTCAGTGCTTGACTTCGAAAGCGTGATGATGTTCTGGCGAAGCGTTTGTGTGTGGAGGTTGGGTTTTACAGATTTACCTTTGATGTTGGTTATCGTGTCTTCTCAGTAGAGCTGAGATGCTGCCATGGAGCCCATACAGATGTAAACAGCATCGGGCATGATGTGTGAGGCTGAAATGGAACTCTGCAGTTTTGGAGCTTCACAATGAAATAACACTTGGTGTGAATCTTGCACCTGCTAATTAAGTCACTACCTACTAAATAAAAATGCAGGGTTTAGTACATTGTATGGGAACTCTCTCCTGCCTTTTTTTTTTCTCCTGGTATTTATGGATAATACAGAGGCTTTTATTAGATGGCTTATCACAGAATCACAGAATGGCCTAGGCTGGAAGAGACCTCAGAGATCATCTAGTCCAACCTCCCTGTTTTGGGTAGGGATGCCACCTCTTGACTAGACCTGGCAACACATGGGGACTGAGCGGGAATCGAACCCACAACCTCGGTGTTGATCCTTGTTGCCAGCACCACGCTCAAACCACTGAGCTAACCAGCCCAAGTAACTGACCCAAGTAACTACCATCTTTGTGGTACTTTGTGGTTCCATAAAGATGGTGATGGGGAGCAAACAAACAAAAACCTCAGGTCTTGTCCAGCTCTGCAGCAGTGGCTGTTGAGAGTCAGGAATGTGGGTAACTGCTTGGCAAAAGCCCTGAATTCTGGTCAGAGACTTCCTGTCACTTGGTAGGAATGTGCTCCTTTAGTGTGTCACGTACAGAGTCGCAGCTACTCTAACTGAAGTTCTGCAGGGCTCTGAAAGGGAAAATCTGGGATATTGATGAAAAAAACGTGGCACAGCATAATGGCATTTAGCAAAAATTAAAAAGTAAGCAAAATACACTT